TTGCATTGGTTGTGTGATCAAAATGATGAGATTAAGGCGGTTGCTTTGACGAATGCACCTGAAAATCTCAAATTAACATCACCACGAGTTCAAAAAGATATTGTGAATGCTATTGCTTCTGAAATTCTGAACGTGATAATCAAAGATATTGGTGATAGCTGGTTTTCTATTCTCGTTGATGAATCTCGTGACATTTCAGTGAAGGAGCAAATGTCAGTTGTCATTCGTTATGTAAAGAATGGATGTGTATTGGAACATTTTATTGGTGTTATACATGTTTCGAGTACTACAGCTGTCTCACTTAAGGCTGGAATTGATCAATTATTTTCTACGCATAGTTTAAGTATATCTAATTTGAGAGGTCAGGGATATGATGGAGCTAACAATATGCGAGGTGAGTATAATGGTCTCAAAACACTTATTTTGAAAGAAAATTCAAGTGCTTACTACATCCATTGTTTTGCTCATCAACTTCAACTAGCTCTTATAGCTGTGGCACATAAACATCCAAAGATTGAAACTTTCTTCACTTCAGTACATAGATTGGTGAGTGTTGTAGGAGGATCGGCTAAACGAAGTGATCTTGTTCGAGACAAACAAAGATTGAAAATTCTTGAATTACTTAGTGTTGGTGAAATATCAACCGGACAAGGTCTCAATCAAGAAACTACTCTTAAGCATTCTAGTAATACACGTTGGGGATCTCACTACAGTTGTTTAATGAACTTGATTCTAATGTTTTCAACCACAATTGATGTTGTTGAGATGATTGCTACTGACAGTACAAGTTCCGGAACAAGAGGCGATGCATGTATTTTATTGGAGCTGATGTTAAAATTTGAATTTGCATTTAATCTACATCTCATGAGAAAGATTTTAGGAATTTCAAACGAATTATCGAAAGCATTACAAAGAAAAGATCAAGATATTGTTAATGCCATGAGATTGGTGCAATTATGTAAAGCACAGCTCCAAACCATGAGAGATGATGGGTGGGACTCTTTTTTTGGAATGGTTTGTTCGTTCTGTGAAGCCCATGAGATAAATGTTCCCAATATGGATGATATGTTCACAACTCCAGGTCGTTCCCGACGTGAGACAGTGACAAATTTGCATCATTTTCGTGTGG